GGGATGGAGACGGGTCCCCCTGTGGGGAGCTTTCCCGCAGAGGGTCCTGCCAGAACATCCTTCTCTCTCAGGCTCCACTGGGACCACAGTTCCCTTTCTCAGGAGTGGATGACAGAGAGGACTGGCCCTCTGTTTTCTACAACCGGACGTGCAAATGCGAAGGCAACTTCATGGGATTCAACTGTGGAGAGTGCAAGTTTGGCTTCTCAGGACCCAACTGCAGTGAAAGGCAAGTGAGAACAAGAAGAAACATCTTCCGTCTCACCAACAGAGAGAAGGACAAGTTTCTTGCCTACCTCAACTTGGCAAAGAACACCCCTAGCCGGGACTATGTTATTGCTACTGGCACGTATAGTCAAATGAACAATGGCTCCAACCCCATGTTCAGAAACATCAATGTGTATGATGTCTTTGTCTGGATGCATTATTATGCCTCTCGAGACACACTCTTAGGTGGGTCCAATGTGTGGCGGGACATTGATTTTGCCCATGAAGCCCCTGGTTTTCTGCCTTGGCATCGAGCCTTTTTGCTGCTCTGGGAACGTGAGGTCCAGAAGATAACGGGTGATGAGAACTTCACCATCCCCTACTGGGACTGGAGAGATGCAGAAGACTGTGCGGTCTGCACTGATGAATACATGGGTGGCAGACATCCCACCAACCCTAATTTACTCAGCCCAGCATCTTTTTTCTCCTCGTGGCAGGTAAGTACAGTCAAAAGGGAAGGGGAAGGGAAAGGCTGATTGTGCCAGAATTATCCTAACTGACTTTAGGCACTTAAGTCAGGCGCACAACCTGGGACCTTAGCTATGCTGCATTCCCTTACTTGTTCCTGGAGAGAACATAAGCATTACCAGAGAGGAAATCAGATTTTCAGTGGACCTAATCTTAATCTAAAGCTGTTTGTTTGGCTCTTTGTCTCTTCTCTCTCTGACTGTGGGGTTTAGGCTGCTTAATTAAGAACCTAAAGTTAAGGTGGAAAGAGGAAAAGTATGCTCCTGGGTCCAGACATGGCCTTTAGTAGGCTAGAAATGTTTGGGTCTACCAAAGCCGTCAGGTGAGAAAAAGTAGGATTTATGTACACAAACTGCTAGAACACTACTCTTGCAAGGCAGCTAGTGACTGATGATGGAAATAGAAGCAAAGACTTTTGAGATGCTCTGCACCTCTCCCAATGTCTTCTTCCATCCAAGAGTTAAAAACTATCAGATTAAGCTTGTCTGCTTTCAAATTAACAAACAGAGCATAGAAGGCTGGAGAAGAACCAGCTGTGTCATTCACGTCACTAGTTCAAATGGTACATAAGGAGTAATCTCTGATGCTCAAAGGAGCTACAAAGTAAACTCAATAGCTATTCCTGCCACCTAAAAGCACTGCAAATTAAACCAAGGTAAATGCATACATTTACATAGATTATATGTTCTCATATAGCTGAACTACACTGTACTGTTCTAACACTGAGAGTTTCTAGGCATTTTTTGTCTCTTGCTCATTACTGTCACATTGCCTAAAATACAGTGACAAAAGGTCTGTTGGCTTCCATAGACACACTCCATCATGACAATAACAACAGTCCCTTCAGGCACTGAAGTCTATGATCATGATGGTGTAAATCCGTCTTCATTCTATTTATTTCTGTAGCAACAGCCCCAGTGAAGGTTGGGCAGTTCTAGTGATTTAATAAAAAGTGAAAGAAATACAGGCTCCAGCAGCTCTTTCATATACTGGCATTAAAAAAAGGCGAGTAACTGGGCTATTATACCGTGTTTAGTCTTGATTTGTGTCCTCTGAACAATATAGGCTTTGTATATATCTGTAAATTCAAATATTCTCAGATAATGTAACAGACTTGTCCAGGACATTTTCTAGCATAGGTTTTGTAGGTATTGACTAGTTCTCCCAAAAAAAAAGGGTATTTACATGGACCATTTCCAGGTTTGCCTATAGATAATCTCTTTGTGAGGCTAAGATGATTTTACTGGCATAGACATGAAGCATTATATGCCATTTGGCCTCAGTGAAGAAAAGTTTCTTGGTCACATTTAATTTACCAGTGTAGGCTATAAAATAGCTATAACTAGAAGCACATATTTTCATCCCATTTTCTAAGATTCTGCTCATTTCTAACAGTATGAATTTGGATGAACTCTACTAACTTAATTAGATTGCATTACCAGAATGAAGTGGATCTGATGCTGTTCTATTCTGAATTGAATAAAGAATTATGTGAAAATGGTACAAGTGTTAAAGTGAATTAAATGAAACTCGAATTGCATTAGTTACATGTGTCAAGTGGAGCTATCAATACAATACAGTGGAGGAGATAAGCAAGGTAGTAGGAGGCAGATAATATAAAGGAATCAGTAAGTTGAAGGCAGAATTTTCTAAAAGACCTGATGGGGGGCAGGTAGTTATGTTTAGCTCATTTTTCAAATGCACTATTAATCATATTCAGATTCTTAGAATTTTTCCATCCTAATAATAAGTACACAGAAATTGTACAAGTGGTAATAAACATATTCAAGAAACAGTCAGGTTTATAACTTCTCCTTTAAGATTAGGTCCCACAAATATATTTTGAAAATAAAGACATTTTTATGAATCAAGGTGCTTTAACAAGGTGGTTTTTTTTCATAACTTCAATAGGTATAAAAATAAAAATTGTGCCTTATTTAAAGCACATCCAGTGTCAATTTGTACATGTAAGAGGACCTGAGTCCTTTACTGAAGCTTTCCAGGTAATTTCTGAAAATGGGTGTTTATCACATATATTTTTCAGCCACTTCTGGAAATGCTACACTTTTATCAGAATTTCCGAAACAGGTCTACAATAACTTTATCTTCAAAGGGCATTATTCCCCTTTAACATCTTCAATCTATGTATCTTTGCTGTCTTATTTAGAGAAGAAATGAAAGAGGTTGAGCAAATCTGCATTTTCAGTCAGTGAGTTTGGGCTGAAAATAAAACACAAACAGATTATTAACCTTGAATCCAAATTTTAAAAATTTCCTATGATAGAATAACTTAGTCAATGCATTTCCTTCAAATAACACAAAGAAAGAGATAAAAATCTCACTACAAAAAATCAAAAGGAAACAAAAACAGCCTTAGCTTGAACCAGAAAGCAGCAATAGATTTGATGCAGAATATGCTGGTTATCCAAGCTCTGTAACTAAAGAGCAAGATAAAATTATTATTATTAATAATGATAATAATAAATAATAATAATAATGAGGAAGATCCAGAAATGTGAAGGAATTTAGGCTCTTAATCAGCATTCAAAATAAAAAGAGGGCAAGAGAAACCTTTTGAATAACATGTCTATACCATGGTGTCCTTTTTAGAATTTTAAGTCTCTTTCCAAAGCATAACAAAACAATACTTTTTATGTTAGGAAATAGTTATGGATTAAAATAAAATAAAATAAAACAAATTTCCTGTTTGCAGAACAGTATTTCTCTTCTTTTACTCCCGAAAGAAAGGAGAAAATACTTTCTTCCATTGAGAAGTTACCATGGCAACGTGGATACCCATGAATACATGCTGAAATTCTTGCTTTTGACTTACTTTTTCTTCAACATGCTGCTGTTACCATTTAGCTGAGTGAATTATCTGTCCACATTTTGCTCATGTTTATTACCTAAGTTCAACTTCTGATTCCTGCCTCTGATTTTACCAGCAAGACTATTAGGAATCTTTTACTGTTTTTATCTGTTTGCTTGGCTCCTGGTTTAGGGTAGGTGGGAAAGTGGTTTCAGTTACTTGTTTGTGATGATTCAGGCATTGCATTCAGAATTAAGACTGTATGACACCTACTAATCCTTTACTAAATATTGCAATTCTGTGCCGACTTAATGGAAAGCTATGTGGGAAATTGAGATCTTTCATGATCTTTTGAGAGTTTTTTGGTTTAGTGCCCATTTCTCTAACTATTCAAGATAATGGATTTGCTAGAGAACTAGTTATTCCGCCTCACTTAAATAGTAGTAGGTGAAATTCTTCACCAGAAATATTTTGGAGAAATAACTGAAGTCAGTGGAGGTACAAATGCTTCAAAAGCCTTCTGTAAATAAATGCAGAATCTTTCTGCTGACAGTTAACATTAGGCTTTGAGTACCCCCACAGTGTGCTGGGCAGACTGATGAAAATAAAGCAGGAGAATCTAAGTGTTGGTTTATGTTTGCTATTGTGGTAAGCAGGCTATACCACCAACTTTAGTCCCTTGTATTTTGTCTCTCTTAAAAGAGTGACTGAAGAGAAGTAATTGCATAACATGGAGACCTGTCTGCTCTCAGATGTTCTGACATAAGCCTGAAGACAATTCTTTGTTGCAAGCACAGAGAATTTCCTTTTGCAATCCAATCCGTATCACCTGCAGAACCACTTATACAAACACAAAGCTACTACAAAAGTGAAATGAGTTACATAAATAGAAAATTGATACAATGCTCCTGAGATAATAATGACAGCACTTTAGATCTATTACCTGAAAATATGACTTTATAAGAAATACACAATTCAGCTATCCAGACAGTTATGTATTTCGGAGCACAGCACATGGAGCTGTATTGCTAGCTGAACAGTCTGAGAGGAATATTTGAAGTACTAATTTTTGCCCACCTTTCAAAACTGTAGGAAATTTCCATAAATACAAACACTGGAAGCCTACACTTCTTGATTCTTAAATCAGCCAAAATCTTACATCCATCTGCCTGTGGTCATCTGAGTATCTCAAGAACTCAAGAATTTTATTTTTTATTGCAACTTAATAGGTTTTGGTGCCAGCTACAGGCTGGTAAATTAAAAAACAACAACCCAAATGGAGTAAATGAATGTAGAATAAGAGTTTATCAAGGCTGGTCTCCTAACAGATTGCTTATACGGATTATAAATTTGAAACGCTTCCTAGTACAAAGAGTTGTCTCCACATGCCACACCTCAGTACCACAGTCTGAGGGAATCAGGATCTGTACACAGCTGGAGCAGCCATTTGGGTACCCTCAGCCTCTTTATGTCACTGTTACCTCAGTATTTTACTTCTTCCACTGGATCATGAGTGGGTGACAGCCGAGTTTGGCCTGTGGGTGCTTGGCTGCTCTCTAGTATATAGCCATGCTTGCTCAGGAGTCATGTAGTGTACACCTTCAGAGGTCTATAAATTAACAACTAAGGAATTGCTTAAAAATTGGGTTTTGTTAATAATTCCTCAGAAAAATAAGCCTACCTATAGACAGGTGTCTCTCCTATAGAGAGGAATTTGTGGTAGACATGGAGACAGTAATCTTAATGGCACAGCCTGGATGCAGCCAGGGAACAGGGAGTCACACTGTGCCAAACTGAAAGTGTTAAAGAACATTTCAGCAGTAATTGACAAGTTTCCTACTCCACCCCAGCATCATTTTGAAGAGCTGAATGGGGTGTAAAGCAAACCCCAGTGCTGATCTGCCTCTGAGCAATGAGATGAAACTCAGACAGCTTTTGCTGAAGGCTGAGAAAATACCTTGAAGGCCCTGGATTCATTTCAGTGCTATCACTTCATGTTTGTCTCCTTTTAGCTTGAGTTTCACAGCTCCTCCAGTTAATGCTCCACAGGTCAGAAAGATAAATAATTACCTTATCCTTGCACAAAGTGGTTTCTTTGAATTTTTTTAAAATATTTTCTTTCTGAATATTCTTATTTTCATTCAGTCTTCTCTTGTTTTACATTTCCATTC